TACTTATATATATATATATAAATATAAATATATATATATATATATATATATTGATATACAATGTAGACACCCAATTTCGTTCGGGGGCACACAAACAAGGAAATGGACCTCTGTTATGAAGGGAATGAGCTTCCGAAGCAGACAAACAAGACAATATATCAGAAGGCCTAAAGGCCAAATAAGGTAGTTTTAGTAGCCCGGGTTGTTCCAAAATCGGAACGGGCCGTTCCAACGTAACTAAAACACCTAAAGAGTCTTGGGTGGAATCGGTCGTTCCAATAGCAGAACGGGCCGTTCCAAACAATTCAAATTTGGAATGGGCCGTTCTGGAAAGGGAAATTTTGTGTTAATTTCTACTCTGGAATGGACCGTTCCGTTTTCAGAACGGGCTGTTCTAGGGTACGTAATTTGCACATAATGATTGGGCTAGAACGGGCCGTTCTGAATCCGGAACAGGCCATTCTAGCTGTGACACCCTCTACCCCATTATTAATATACAACAAATTGAATCAATCCGGACTTGCTTTCTTTATCTATAGTGGCTGGAAAATTTTCTGGAAAAAGGTAATATAATCCTTAAAGATTCAAGAAAAGAATTGGAAAAGAAAAGATTTAAAAAAAAATCAAATAGAAAAGCCAAAGGAGAAACAAAAATACATTGAACTTTGCTACTTAATTGCAACTGGATTGATAAAGTTTGAGAGATTCAATTTAGTTCTTTCTTTCATTCTTTGATTTTGGTTTTGTTAATCTAATCTAGAGCCAATCTAAGACTTTCCTCTTTGTGTGCCAACTTTTAGGTGAGTCTTAATTTTGTCTTTTAGTCTTGATTGGAATTCTTGACTTTGTCATTTCTTAATTCTTATCGGTTTAGCTTTCCTAATTGCGCATTTTCTATTTTTCTTCTTGGACTCTTGGCTAGAAGTTGCATCAAAATTTTGAAGAAGGAGCAAACATTGACTCATAAATCCTAGAGGAAGCATAAGAGCTCTAAGGCTAGGCAGTTTTGGAGAGCATTCAAAAATTATCTTCTAAAAACCTTCTAAACATCCTTCACAAGAGTGATCTTTCCTTTCCATTGTGAGGTAGCCTTTAACTTTTGGAAATAGTTTGTTCTTTGTGAAGGTCAAGATCTTCAAGGAAGTGATGGACTCCTTCCACCAAGGGGATGAACAAATGTCAATGGTGAAGAGGAGCTCCTTTCCAAGGCCAAGATAGTGACCTTAGGGGGTGGATGTCCTTCAAGGGTGAGGCAAAAAGGAAGGTCGGCATAGATGGTGATGGCTTGGGCGAATATGAGAAATGAAGGGCGGATGGTGTTTTGGGTTTTCTTGTTGGCTCTCTTCATGATGGAAATCTAATCCCTAAGGATCCTTTTGGAAGAGTTAAGACCCAGAAGGGTGAAGGTTGATCCAAGGAGGCTCACCCATGAAGACCATTGGGCCTTTAACTAGGTCCATGGTTAGGAAGCTAGAGGAGGTGATGGAGAAAGAAAGGAGGAGTGAATGAAGTTCTTCTCCTTAGCTTCTCCTATGCTCGGATCTTCTTCAAGGAGACTTGAAACCGAAGCTATGAACACTTGAAGGAAGAAGGATTCTCGGATGGAGTAAGGCCTAAGCCTTGGATGGAAGCATCCAAGCTTAAGGTTCAAGGGAAAGCTCACTTCAAAGAGGAGGAAAACCTAGTAGGGTTCCTAAAGTGAAAGCTCTCTCTCTTTCTCTCTATTTCAGTGACTCTTGAGGAATTTGCTGAAGAATGATTCAGAAAATTCAATATATTCAAAAGTGTTTACAAAGGGTTGGAGGGAAGCTATAAATAGGACCGTATTTGAAGGCTTCTTGGCGCCAATGTGAAAGGTTCACATGTGGCGCCAAGATTTGAATTCAAATTTGAAAATTTGAATTCAAATCTCACACCACATGTATGTCACCAGCCACATAGTTGCTAAGTGCATTTAAGGTTTGATTTAACTTGAATTTAGGGTTACATTTGGGTCACACATGTGCAGCCAAGGTGGCGCCATCCATGTGACTCCAAATGTAACTTAAATGCAAGCTAAATTAAACCTAGTTTAACCTAATCCTATTTAACAAGTTTTCCTCTTAATTCCTAGACTAATGACCTAAATACAATGGTCAAAGTAATACAATGAAATAGGAAAAATTACAAGAAAGAAAATGAGCCCAATATTGGGTACCAAAAGCCCAAAAGCCCATGAAGCCCAAAACAAGGCCCAAAAGCCTAAAGCTAAAAAATGATACTCTAAGAGGTCCAAAATACAAGACCAAAATATATGTAAACTATAGTAATAAAATATAAGAAGAATAGACATGTCAAGATAGGCCCATGAGAAGCTTGACTTGGGCCTTCCAAGCCCATCGGGCCCATTGGGCCTTGACTGGCCCAAACCTCCATGTCTAGCCCTCTCCTCTTGGATCTTTGAGTATGTCACCTCTTGCATTCCAAAGCATGATTCCATCATCCCCTCCCTCTTGAAAAGGATTTGTCCTCAAATCTCGAGGATGCATGGAAGAAAAATCAACACCTACATGTACAACATACAATGGATAAGAGATGAAATTTTCATAAATCCTAAGAGGAGTCCTTCTATCTAAAGAAAAGAATTGGAAAAGAAAAGATTTAAAAAAAATCAAATAGAAAAGCCAAAGGAGAAACAAAAATACATTGAACTTTGCTACTTAATTGCAACTGGATTGATAAAGTTTGAGAGATTCAAAGACAGAGAAATTTTGAATAAGACTCCTTTGAGCATGAAAATTCTCTATATCTCTCCCCTCTATTGTATTTCTTGAGATTTGTGTCGCATCTCTATCTTCTCTCTCCCTCCTATTGTATTTCTTGAGATTTGTGAGACATACTGTAGTGTGAAAGGTCGCCACAAAGCACGTTCTTCATATTTGAAGATTCAATAGAACTTGTTCAAGAGGTATTTCAATCAATCCTCTTCTATATCGTTTATTTCTCATCTTTATCTCTATCTTTTATTTATAACAAACACAATCATGTAGATATTTTAGGGTTAGTCGTATATATGTAAATAAATAATAATAAAGGGGATTCAATATTTAATTTATTAATTCTTATCATGTTAACTTCATCATAGGGTACCGATTAAGGGCGTTGTAGGGGTGCTTAATACCTTCTTTACACGTAACCGACCCCCGAACCCAATTCTGGTTATCAAGGCCATTGTTGGCTCTTTAAAATCCTTTTCTTTTTCCAATGTTTTTGAGTAAAATATTGGTGGCGACTCCATGAACCTATTTTCAAAATCATTAATTAAGAATTAGTCTGGTGTCCGGACATTCCTTAATTAATGAGACTTTTAAAAGGATGTCTAAACCATATGTTGTGAGATCGGAAATTTTCGGGTTGCGACAGATGGCGACTCCACTAGGGATGTTTAAATCAGGTCAGACCCATTTAATTGATGAAGTTAATAAAATAAAAATATTAATTTAAATATTTTTCCCCTTTATTTTGTTTGCTTTATTTGTTTGACTTTAATATCGGTTTTCCTGTTTAAATTATGCATATGTTTGAAATAAATTGCACA